GTTATATCAAGGCGTGTGTCAGATATATCAGGACATGTTATATCAAGGCGTGTGTCAGTATGTCACGTCATGTTATATCAAGGTATGTGTCAGTATGTCACGTCATGTTATATCAAGGTGTGTGTCAGTATGTCACGACATGTTATATCAAGGCGTGTGTCAGTATGTCACGGCATGTTATATCAAGGCGTGTGTCAGTATGTCACGGCATGTTATATCAAGGTGTGTGTCAGTATTTCACGGCATGTTATATCAAGGCAAGTGTCAGGTATGTCACGGAATGTTATATCAAGGCGTGTGTCAGGTATGTCACGACATGTTATATCAAGGTGTGTGTCAGTATGTCACCGCATGTTATATCAAGGCGTGTGTCAGTATGTCACGTCATGTTATATCAAGGCGTGTGTCAATATGTCACGTCATGTTATATCAAGGTGTGTGTCAGTATTTCACGGCATGTTATATCAAGGCATGTGTCAGTATGTCACGGCATGTTATATCAAGGCATGTGTCAGGTATATCACGACATGTTATATCAAGGTGTGTGTCAGTATGTCATGGCATGTTATATCAAGGCTTGTATCAGATATATCACGGCATGTTATATCAAGGTGTGTGTCAGTTGTATCACGCATCTTATATCAAGGCGTGTGTCAGATATATCAGGACATGTTATATCAAGGCGTGTGTCAGTATGTCACGTCATGTTATATCAAGGTGTGTGTCAGTATGTCACGTCATGTTATATCAAGGTGTGTGTCAGTATGTCACCGCATGTTATATCAAGGTGTGTGTCAGTATGTCACGTCATGTTATTTCAAGACGTGTGTCAGTATGTCACTTGATGTTATATCAAGGCGTGTGTCAGGTATATCTCGTCATGTTTTTTCAAGGAATGTGTCAGATATATCACGTCATGTTATTTCAAGGAATGTGTCAGGTATATCGGGGCATGTTTTACCACGTATACCGCGTATATCAAAGTGTCGGGGAAGACACGCATGGGGAACAAAAGACCTATCCTGTCCCTGTATTCCTACGGACCATATCATTTAAAAACTCATCGATTCAAATAAAAAACTCAGACCCTCCGGCAGTGTCGGCTCGTGTACAAATTCTCTCTGTACTGGCTACTAGCCTAAGGCACAGACCACGCCCATCCGGCGTGCGATATCGGTGATATCTAAATTGTCAACGTGTTTTTTTTTCTCACCTGATCTGTTTGCTGTCATCTGTGGTTCTAATAAAGTACAACAAACACTTGATGAAACGACACCGCTCATGCACGGCGCCAAACTAAATCACACAATTTATGTTTCATTCACCGGGTGCTATATAAATAAGTGTGAAATATGTAAATAAGTGTGAAATATGTAAAATCGTGTAAAATATGTAAATTCATGTGAAACACCTAAAGTAGTGTGAACTATGTAAAATCGTGTGAAATATGTAAAATCGTTTGAAATATGTCAAATCGTGTGAACTATGTAAATAAGTGTGAAATATGTAAAATCGTGTGAAATATGTGAATAAGTGTGAAATATGAAATATGTGTGAAATGTGTAAATAAGTGTGAAATGTGTAAATTGGTGTGGAAAATGTGAATTAGTGTGAAAAATGAAACGTGTAAAATATGTAAAATCGTGTGAAATACCTAAAGTAGTGTGAAATATGTAAATAAGTGTGAAATATGTGAATTAGTGTGAAATACCAAATATGTGTGAAATGTGTAAATTAGTGTGAAATATGTAAATTAGTGTGAAATATGAAATACTCATCAATATTCTACCTATATGACGGCAGTCTGTAAATAATCGGGTCTGGACAAGACAATCTAGTGATTGATATCATGAGCTTCGATCCACGCAATTGGGATACGATGACATCAAGCAGGTCAGCGAGCCTGACCACCCGATCCCATTAGTGGCCTCTTACGACAAGCACTGTCGCCTTTTATGGCAAGCATGGGTTTCTGAAGACCTGTTCTAACCTGGATTGACAGTTGGCAGTGACTAAGAAGAAAACGAATGTTGACCATTTTAGAAACCCTCCCCCAATACAGATCGCAGTTAGATTTTAAATATATCGTTTGATTATATTGAGTCTGAAAGAATCTTATATCAGAGATATTTTCACTGAAGGTGATGATGAAAGATGGATCAGGGAATTGTGTGATGACCGAAATAATGTAACAAGCTTAAAACTTACAGGCAATTTAAGACGTAAAATGGTGCTGAATATTATGTTTAAAATGTAAAATATGGGGATCACTGTCGAATTTTAGCTCGGTTTAGATGGGGTTATATACCCCTTGCCATGGAAACTGGACGTTTAAACGACCTACCCATCTTCCAAGTATAATAATGTTTTAAACAGTTTAATTACAGAATTATTGAAGACGAATGACGTTTCCTAATATTGTTATTTTTATGAACATTTAAGACACGCACTTTTTAAAATATTATATGTTATTCAATTCTACCTTTACAAATATGACTGGTTTAACTGACTGTCTTATTTAACAAACAAACAAATTTTATAAATTGTATAAACGAAAACAGTATTTAATTCGTGAAAATTATATTAACTATGTATATTGCCATGTATAATAATGTTTGTACAGGATACGAACGGTATCCTTCTAATGTTTTATGTCATGTTTTTTTTATATTTCGTTATTTGGCTGGACGTAACTTTTGAATTATATTTCTTACTTTTATATATACACAGCTTTTTTAACGTGTGACACATAAATTAACTATTTCTGTGTGTGTCAACATTCTAATTTGACGTTTTCTAAATCTACAGCGACCACGATATATACTGCAGACATGATTATATCAATTATGAAACCTGTTGATTGTGTTATACATGTGTATATTGCCCGGGGGGGGGACAGTCAAACGATATGTCCAGGTACCACCCCCGGCATTAAAAAGGTTATAATGCCCCTGACCAACTCTCACGCTGACCATTCAATTAGCTGACCGGCGTTCTGGCTACATTGTTTCAAACTGACCACCACGCCCTGACCAGACACCCGTTGTCATGCGTAAACAATTCTATAATCTGCGCTGACCATATCGTAAGGTAATATCCAGCTTTTGGTTTGTTGTACATACCGTATTTGTTTTGTTTCTATTTACCAACTGACCTTATAGTGTGTTATTTTTTATTTATTTAGCTAAATTCTGGTTCTGGATGCCCATTTTAAAAATTATCCAAAAGGTCGCTCTAATGTGTTCTGTATTTGTTTAAATCATTTCCGTTTAAAACATGCATGTACTCAGAAGTACGGTGTTCGCCTGCATGTACTCAGCATTATGGTGTTCGCCTGCATGTACTCAGCACTACGGTGTTCGCCTGCATGTACTCAGCAGTACGGTGTTCGCCTACATGTACTCATCATTACGGTGTTCGCCTGCATGTACTCAGCAGTACGCTGTTCGCCTGCATTTAATACACATGTATGCTGCGGATGTCAGTACAAGGACAATACAGTAGAAGTTGTAGAACTCGTGGCTGTAGATGTTGTTGCAGTAGTCGTAGATGTAATAATTGCAGTTGACGCTATCACCCTGACTAATCCAGACTGTTGGTACTGGACCAAAAATAAGGAAGGGATTTCTCTACGTTAATTTCTCATCAATGCCGTGTCCCGACCAACACTGTGGGGCAAGGGAGACAACTTGTCATGTAGCTGATAGTAAACGCGTTACGGTCAATTAACTTTACAGCTTTGTTCACAACCTCACAACCGTATTTCTACTCGATTCTGTCAGTATGTTCAGTTAGTTAACAACACGTTATGAGCCGGATGTTTCTCACAATTGTTATTTGTTCTAACCAGTGAACTGGTGATGCATAACACACATCGATTAAGATTGGGTTGATCTGTTATCGATGTAGAAGCACATGTAATGGCGTTGTTACATCAGCTTGCCACTGGCGACTCCGGGTAAATCACTATCGGGATATCAGATGTAACGCCACAACGCCGGGGGCGTCACATGCCGCCCACAGCGCATCACTGTAAGACGTACGCGGGCGTCATACGCCGCCCACCGGGATACATCTAGGGGCACGCCTATTTACTGCTGTTGACTCCGCCATACATCACAGTAGTAGTAGTAGGAGTAGCAGCAGCAGCTGTAGTAGTAGTAGTAGTAGTAGTAGCAGAGGCGGTAGTGGTAGAAGTAGTAGAAGTAGTAGCAGTAGTAGCAGTAGTAGTAGTAGCAGTAGTAGTAGTAGTAGTAGTAGTAGTAGTAGTAGCAGTAGTAGTAGTAGTAGTAGTAGCAGTAGTAGTAGTAGTAGTAGTAGTAGTAGCAGTAGTGGTTGTAGTGGTAGTAGTAGTAGTAGCAGCAGCAGCAGTAGTAGTTGTAGTAGTAGTAGTAGTAGCAGTAAAAAAGCAGTAACCGTTCCATCAATAATAGCAATAGTGGTGGTTGTATTAAAAGTAGAAAAGATTATTGTATCGTCTTGGGTGTTTGTACTGGGTTTAATATTGAGTGAGTGAGTTTTTTAACGCAGCTTTTTTATTCCAGTTATATCACGGCTTGATGTGCCTCACTCCAGATGTGAATCCCGGATGGGACTCAATCCCCAAAAGTACTAGAATCTGTACTTTACTAAGAGAGTGTTACTCAAAGCTGACAAACCTAGAAATATAATCGTGGCGAACCCTGATTCGAACTCATAATCATACGTTTCTGGCGTGCCCAAGGGACGCAACTCTGACATATTTGTATCACTTTGTTTCCCACCAGTTGATGCTCAACAGGATGATGTTTTTTCCGGCAGTGCTCTCTCTTCTTCTCGTGCGTCTCTGTCACGCTCTCACAGGTAAGTAGACCACGCCCATCTCTACTCCACGCTCTTACAGGTAAGTAGACCACGCCCATCTCTACTACACGCTCTCACAGGTAAGTAGACCACGCCCATCTCTACTACACGCTCTCGTAGGTAAGTAGACCACGCCCATCTCTACTACACGCTCTCACATGAAAGTAGACCACGCCCATCTCCACTCCACGCTCTCAGAGGTAAGTAGACCACGCCCATCTCTACTCCATGCTCTCACAGGTAAGTAGACCACGCCCATCTCTACTCCACGCTCTCACAGGTAACTCTACCACGCCCGTCTCTACTACACGCTCTCACAGGTAACTATCACGCCCATCTCTACTCCACGCTCTCACAGGTAAGTAGACCACGCCCATCTCTACTCCACGCTCTCACAGGTAAATATAACGCCCATCTCTACTCCACGCTCTCACAGGTAACTACCACGCCCATATCTACTATACGCTCTCACAGGTAACTATCACGCTCATCTCTACTCCACGCTCTCACAGGTAACTCTACCACGCCCGTCTCTACTACACGCTCTCACAGGTAACTCTACCACGCCCGTCTCTACTACAGGCTCTCACAGGTAACTACCACGCCCATCTCTACTCCACGCTCTCACAGGTAAATATAACGCCCATCTCTTTTTTATTCCAGTTATATCACGGCTTGATGTGCCTCACTCCAGATGTGAATCCCGGGTGGGACTCAATCCCCAAAAGTACTAGAATCTGTACTTTACTAAGAGAGTGTTACTCAAAGCTGACAAACCTAGAAATATAATCGTGGCGAACCCTGATTCGAACTCATAATCATACGTTTCTGCCGTGCCCAAGGGACGCAACTCTGACATATTTGTATCACTTTGTTTCCCACCAGTTGATGCTCAACAGGATGATGTTTTTTCCGGCAGTGCTCTCTCTTCTTCTCGTGCGTCTCTGTCACGCTCTCACAGGTAAGTAGACCACGCCCATCTCTACTCCACGCTCTTACAGGTAAGTAGACCACGCCCATCTCTACTACATGCTCTCACAGGTAAGTAGACCACGCCCATCTCTACTACACGCTCTCACAGGTAAGTAGACCACGCCCATCTCTACTACACGCTCTCACAGGTAAGTAGACCACGCCCATCTCTTGTCCACGCTCTCATAGGTAAGTAGACCACGCCCATCTCTACTCCATGCTCTCACAGGTAAGTAGACCACGCCCATCTCTACTCCACGCTCTCACAGGTAACTCTACCACGCCCGTCTCTACTACACGCTCTCACAGGTAACTATCACGCCCATCTCTACTACACGCTCTCACAGGTAAGTAGACCACGCCCATCTCTACTCCACGCTCTCACAGGTAAATATAACGCCCATCTCTACTCCACGCTCTCACAGGTAACTACCACGCCCATATCTACTACACGCTCTTACAGGTAACTATCACGCTCATCTCTACTACACGCTCTCACAGGTAACTCCACCACGCCCGTCTCTACTACACGCTCTCACAGGTAACTCTACCACGCCCGTCTCTACTACAGGCTCTCACAGGTAACTACCACGCCCATCTCTACTCCACGCTCTCACAGGTAAATATAACGCCCATCTCTACTACACGCTCTCACAGGTAACTACCACGCCCATCTCTACTACACGCTCTCACAGGTAACTCTACCACGCCCGTCTCTACTCCACACTCTCACAGGTAACTATCACGCCCATCTCTACTACACGCTCTCACAGGTAACTCCACCACGCCCATATCTACTACACGCTCTCACAGGTAACTATCACGCCCATCTCTAATCCACGCTCTCACAGGTAAATATAACGCCCATCTCTACTACACGCTCTCACAGGTAACTCTACCACGCCCGTCTCTACTACACGCTCTCACAGGTAAATATAACGCCCATCTCTACTACACGCTCTCACAGGTAACTCTACCACGCCCGTCTCTACTACACGCTCTCACAGGTAACAATCACGCCCATCTCTACTACACGCTCTCACAGGTAACTCTACCACGCCCATCTCTAGTACACGCTCTCACAGGTAACTCTACCACGCCCATCTCTACTACACGCTCTCACAGGTAACTACCATGCCCATCTCTACTCCACGCTCTCACAGGTAAATATAACGCCCATCTCTACTACACGCTCTCACAGGTAACTACCACACCCATCTCTACTCCACGCTCTCACAGGTAACTCTACCACGCCCATCTCTACTACACGCTCTCACAGGTAACTACCACGCCCATCTCTACTACACGCTCTCACAGGTAACTCTACCACGCCCGTCTCTACTACACGCTCTCACAGGTAACAATCACGCCCATCTCTACTACACGCTCTCACAGGTAACTCTACCACGCCCATCTCTAGTACACGCTCTCACAGGTAACTCTACCACGCCCATCTCTACTACACGCTCTCACAGGTAACTACCATGCCCATCTCTACTCCACGCTCTCACAGGTAAATAGAACGCCCATCTCTACTACACGCTCTCACAGGTAACTACCACACCCATCTCTACTCCACGCTCTCACAGGTAACTCTACCACGCCCATCTCTACTACACGCTCTCACAGGTAACTACCATGCCCATCTCTACTCCACGATCTCACAGGTAAATATAACGCCCATCTCTACTACACGATCTCACAGGTAACTACCACACCCATCTCTACTCCACGCTCTCACAGGTAACTCTACCACGCCCATCTCTACTACACGCTCTCACAGGTAACTACCACGCCCATCTCTACTCCACGCTCTCACAGGTAACTATCACGCCCATCTCTACTACACGCTCTCACATGTAACTATCACGCCCATCTCTACTACACGCTCTCACAGGTAACTACCACGCCCATCTCTACTCCACGCTCTCACAGGTAACTATCACGCCCATCTCTACTACACGCTCTCACAGGTAAATATAACGCCCATCTCTACTACACGCTCTCACAGGTAACTATCACGCCCATCTCTATTACACGCTCTCACAGGTAAATATAACGCCCATCTCTACTACACGCTCTCACAGGTAACTACCACGCCCATCTCTACTACACGCTCTCACAGGTAACTACCACGCCCATCTCTACTACACGCTCTCACAGGTAACTACCACGCCCATCTCTACTACACGCTCTCACAGGTAACTACCACGCCCATCTCTACTCCACGCTCTCACAGGTAACTATCACGCCCGTCTCTACACCACACTCTTACAGGTAACTCTACCACGCCCATCTCTACTCCACGCTCTCACAGGTAACTATCACGCCCGTCTCTACTCCACACTCTCACAGGTAACTCTACCACGCCCATCTCTACTACACGCTCTCACAGGTAACTCTACCACGCCCATCTCTACTCCACACTCTCACAGGTAACTATCACGCCCATCTCTACTACACGCTCTCACAGGTAACTATCACGCCCGTCTTTACTACACGCTCTCACAGGTAAGTAGACCACGCCCATCTCTACTCCACGCTCTCACAGGTAAGTAGACCACGCCAATCTCTACTCCACGCTCTCACAGGTAACTACCACGCCCATCTCTACTCCACGCTCTCACAGGTAACTACCACGCCAATCTCTACTACACGCTCTCAAAGGTAACTCGACCACGCCCATCTCTACTCCACGCTCTCACACGTAACTCTACCACGCCCATCTCTACTACACGCTCTCACAGGTAACTACCACGCCCATCTCTCCTACACGCTCTCAAAGGTAACTCTACCACGCCCATCTCTACTCCACATTCTCACACGTAACTCTACCACGCCCATCTCTACTACACGCTCTCACAGGTAACTACCACGCCAATCTCTACTATACGCTCTCAAAGGTAACTCTACCACGCCCATCTCTACTCCACATTCTCACACGTAACTGTACCACGCCCATCTCTACTCCACATTCTCACACGTAACTCTACCACGCCCATCTCTACTCCACGCTCTCACAGGTAAGTAGACCACGCCCGTCTCTACTCCACGCTCTCACAGGTAACTACATGTACGTACCACGCCCATCTCTACTAGACGCTCTCACAGGTAACTCTACCACGCCAAATTCTACTCTACACTCTCACAGATAACTCTGCCACGCCCATCTCTACTCCACGCTCTCACAGGTAACTACATGTACGTACCACGCCCATCTCTACTACGCGCTCTCACAGGTAACTACATGTACGTACCACGCCCATCTCTACTAGACGCTCTCACAGGTAACTCTACCACGCCAAATTCTACTCTACACTCTCATAGATAACTCTGCCACGCCCATCTCTACTCCACGCTCTCACAGGTAACTCTACCACGCCAAATTCTACTCTACACTCACACAGGTAACTCTACCACGCCCATATCTACTAAGCGCTCTCACAGGTAACTACGTACCACGCCCATCTCTACTACACCCTCTCACTGGTAACTCTACCACGCCAAATTCTACTCTACACTCTCACAGGTAACTCTACCACGCCTATCTCTACTGCACGCTCTCGCAGGTAAGCCGACCACGCCCATCTCTTCTCCACGCTGTCTTAGGTAAGTCGACCACGCCCATCTCTACTCCACACTCTCACAGGTAAATCTAACACGCCCATCTCTACTCCACGCTGTCTTAGGTAAGTCGACCACGCCCATCTTTACTCCACGCTGTCTTAGGTAAGTCGACCACGCCCATCTCTAATCCATGCTGTCTTAGGTAAGTCGACCACGCCCATCTCTACTCCACGCTGTCTTAGGTAAGTCGACCACTTCTATCCCTACTCCATGCTGTATTAGGTAAGTCGACCACGCCCATCTTTACTCCATGCTGTCTTATGTAAGTCGACCACGCCCATCTTTACTCCATGCTGTCTTAGGTAAGTCGACCACGCCCATCTCTAATCCATGCTGTTTTAGGTAAGTCGACCACGCCCATCTCTACTCCACGCTGTCTTAGGTAAGTCGACCACTTCTATCCCTACTCAATGCTGTCTTAGGTAAGTCGACCACGCCCATCTTTACTAAACGCTGTCTTAGGTAGGTCGACCACGCCCATCTCTACTCCACGCTCTCACAGGTAAATCTAACACGCCTATCTCTACTCAACGCTGTCTCAGGTAAGTCGACCACGCCCATCTCTACTCCATGCTGTCTTAGGTAAGTCGACCACGCCCATCTCTACTCCATGCTGTCTTAGGTAAATCGACCACGCCCATCTCTACTCCATGCTGTCTTAGGTAAGTCGACCACGCCCATCTCTACTCCATGCTGTCTTAGGTAAATCGACCACGCCCATCTCTACTCCATGCTGTCTTAGGTAAATCGACCACGCCCATCTCTACTCCATGCTGTCTTAGGTAAATCGACCACGCCCATCTCTACTCCATGCTGTCTTAGGTAAATCGACCACTTCTATCCCTACTCCATGCTGTCCTAGGTAAGTCGACCACGCCCATCTCTATCCAACGCTCTGACAGGTAACTCTACCACGCCCATCTGTACTCCACACTCTCACAGGTAAATCTAACACGCCATCTGTACTCCACACTCTCACAGGTAAGTAAACCACTCCTATCTCCACTCCACGTCCTCCAAGGTGAATCTACCACGCCCATCTCTACGCAACGTTCTCACAGGTCAACCTAACACGCCCATCTCTACTCCACGCTCTCACAGGTAAGTAAACCACTCCTATCTCTACTCCACGCCCTCCCAGGTGAATCTACCACGCCCATCTCTACGCAACGCTCTCACAGGTAAGTCGACCACGTCTATATCTAATCCACGCTCTTGCAGGTAAGCCGACCACACCTATCTCTACTCCACGCTGTCTCAGGTAAGTCGAGCACGACCATCTCTACTCCACGCTCTCACAGGTAAGTCCACCACGCCCATCCCTGCTCTACGCTCTCACAGGTAAGTGTACCACGCCCGTCTCTACTCCACACTCGCACAGGTAAGTCGAAAACGCCTATCTCTACTCCACACTCTCACATGTAACTCTACCACGCCCATCTGTACTCCACACTCTCACATGTTACTCTACCACGCCTATCTCTACTCCACACTCTCACATGTTACTCTACCACGCCAATCTTTACTCCACACTCTCACATGTAACTCTACCACGCCTATCTCTACTCCACACTCTCACATGTAAGTCCACCACGCCCATCTCTACTCCACACTCTCACATGTAACTCTACCACGCCTATCTCTACTCCACAATCTCACATGTAAGTCCACCACGCCTATCTCTACTCCACACTCTCACATGTAACTCTACCACGCCTATCTCTACTCCACACTCTCACATGTTACTCTACCACGCCTATCTCTACTCCACACTCTCACATGTAAGTCAACCACGCCCATCCCTACTCCACACTCTCACATGTTACTCTACCACGCCAATCGTTACTCCACACTCTCACATGTAAGTCCACCACGCCCATCCCTACTCCACACTCTCACATGTTACTCTACCACGCCTATCTCTACTCCACACTCTCACATGTAAGTCCACCACGCCCATCTTTACTCCACACTCTCACATGTAACTCTACCACGCCTATCTCTACTCCACACTCTCACATCTAACTCTACCACGACCATCTCTACTCCACGCTCTGACATGTAACTCTACCACGACCATTTCTATTCTACGCCTTCACGGGCAACTCTGCCATGTCATCTCTAGTCCACGCCTTCACGTGTTATCATTTATTCCTTTTAGATCTCATAGTACTTGTACAGGGTGAGTGAGTGAGTGAGGGTTTATTAAGAACACCTGGGGGAGTATAATCTGCATTATCAACAATACCATACAGTGCACACAATCAGGAAAATACATTTGCCGCATATATACCTTTATTGCATCCTATAGTTTGTAATACAAATATGAATGCCCTTGTTTCAGCTTATCCCACTTGTGTCGCCAACTGCGCGGGACAGGCGGATGGTCAATATCCATCGTGCGCGTCATGTGACATCTACCTAATCTGTGTGCTGGGAAACACCTTCACCGTGAGCTGCCCCACGTCCCTCGTCTACGACGCCGACCTCGGTGTGTGTAACTACGCCTCGCAAGCCAGATGTGGGTAGGTGGTCTTTCTACAAACTAGGGGTGTGTAGGTGGTCTTTCTACGAGCTAGATGTGGGTAGGTGGTCTTTCTACAAACTAGGGGTGGGTAGGTGGTCTTTCTATAAGCCAAATGAGGGTAGGTATTCTTTCTTCAAACTAGGGGTGGGTAGGTGGTCTTTCTACGAGCTAGATGTGGGAAGGTGGTCTTTCTACAAACTAGGGGTGGGTAGGTGGTCTTTCTACGAGCTAGATGTGGGTAGGTGGTCTTTCTACAAACTAACGGTGTGTAGGGGGTCTTACTACGAGCCAGATGTTGGTAGGTGGTCCTTCTACAAGCCAGTTGTTGGTAGTTGGTCTTTCTACAAACTAGGGTTGGGTAGGTGGTCTTTCTACAAACTAGGGCTGGGTAGGTGGTCTTTCTACAAAGTAGGGGTGGGTAGGTGGTCTTTCTACAAATCAGATGTGGGTAGGTGGTCTTTCTTCAAGCCAGATGTGGGTAGCTGGTCCATCTATAAGCCAGATGTGGACAGGTGGTCTGTCTACAAACTAGGGTTTGGTAGGTGGTCTGTCTACAAACTAGATGTTGGTAGATGGTCCATCTACAAGCAAAATGTGGTAGGTGGTCTTTCTAGAAAAATAATGTGGATAGGTAGTATTTTCACAAACTAGGGTTGGGAAGGTGGTCTTTCTACCAACTAGGGATGGGTAGGTGGTCTTTCTACAAGCCAGATGTGGGTAGGTGGTCTGTCTACAAACTAGATGTGGGTAGGTAGTCTTTCTACAAACTAGGGGTGGGCAGGTGGTCTTCCTACAAACTATGGGCGGGTAGGTGGTCTTTCTACAAGCCAGATGTGGGAAGGTTGTCTTTCTACAAACTAGATGTGGGTAGGTAGTCTTTCTACAAACTAGCGGTGGTTGGGAGGTCTTTCTACAAGCCAGATGTGGGTAGGTGGTCTTTCTACAAACTGGGGTTGGGAAGGTGGTCTTTCTACAAGCCAGATGTGGGTAGGTGGTCTTTCTACAAGCCAGATGTGGGTAGGTGCTCTTACTACAACCTAGGGGTTGGTAGGTGGTCTTTCTACAAACTAGGGTTGGATAGGTGGTCCTTCTACAAGCCAGATGTTGGTAGGTGCTCTGTCTACAAACTAGGGTTGGGTAGGTTGTCTTTCTACAAGCCAGATGTGGGTAGGTGGTCTGTCTACAAGCCAGATGTGGGTAGGTGGTCTTTCTACAAGCCAGATGTGGGTAGGTGGTCTGTCTACAAGCCAGATGTGGATAGGTGGTCTTTCTACAAGCCAGATGTGGGTAGGTGGTCTTTCTACAAGCCAGATGTGGGAAGGTGGTCTGTCTACAAACTAGGGATTAGTAGGTGGTCTTTCTACAAGCCAGATGTTGGTAGGTGCTCTGTCTACAAACTAGGGTTGGGTAGGTGGTCTTTCTACAAGCCAGATGTGGGAAGGTGGTCTTTCTACAAGCCAGATGTGGGTAGGTGGTCTTTCTACAAGCCAGATGTGGGTAGGTGGTCTTACTACAACCTAGGGGTTGGTAGGTGGTCTTTCTACAAACTAGGGTTGGATAGGTGGTCTTCCTACAAACTATGGGCGGGTAGGTGGTCTTTCTACAAGCCAGATGTGGGAAGGTTGTCTTTCTACAAACTAGATGTGGGTAGGTAGTCTTTCTACAAACTAGGGTTGGGTAGGAGGTCTTTCTACAAACTAGCGGTGGTTGGGAGGTCTTTCTACAAGCCAGATGTGGGTAGGTGGTCTTTCTACAAACTGGGGTTGGGAAGGTGGTCTTTCTACAAGCCAGATGTGGGTAGGTGGTCTTTCTACAAGCCAGATGTGGGTAGGTGCTCTTACTACAACCTAGGGGTTGGTAGGTGGTCTTTCTACAAACTAGGGTTGGATAGGTGGTCCTTCTACAAGCCAGATGTTGGTAGGTGCTCTGTCTACAAACTAGGGTTGGGTAGGTTGTCTTTCTACAAGCCAGATGTGGGTAGGTGGTCTGTCTACAAGCCAGATGTGGGTAGGTGGTCTTTCTACAAGCCAGATGTGGGTAGGTGGTCTGTCTACAAGCCAGATGTGGGTAGGTGGTCTTTCTACAAGCCAGATGTGGGTAGGTGGTCTTTCTACAAGCCAGATGTGGGTAGGTGGTCTGTCTACAAGCCAGATGTGGGTAGGTGGTCTTTCTACAAGCCAGATGTGGGTAGGTGGTCTTTCTACAAGCCAGATGTGGGTAGGTGCTCTGTCTCCAAACTACTGGTGGGTAGGTGGTCTTTCTACAAGCCAGATGTGGGTAGGTGGTCTTTCTACAAGCCAGATGTGAGTATGCGGTCTGTCTATAAACTAGGGATTAGTAGGTGGTCTGTCTACAAACTAGGTCTGGGTAGGTGGTCTGTTTACAAGCAAAATGTGGTAGGTGGTCTTTCTACAAGCAAAATGTGGATAGGTAGTCTTTCTACAAACTAGGGGTGGGTAGGTGGTTTTTCTACAAACTATTGGTAGGTAGGTGGTCTTTCTACAAACTAGGGTTGGGTAGGTGGTCTTTCTACAAGCCAGACGTGGGTAGGTGGTCTTTCTACAAACTAGGTTTGGGTAGGTGGTCTTTCTACAAACTAAGGTTGGGTAGGTGGTCTTTCTACAAGCCAGGTGTGGGTAGGTGTTCTTTCTACAAACTAGGGGTGGGTAGGTGGTCTTCCTAGAAACTATTGGTAGGTAGGTTGTCTTTCTACAAACTAGGGTTGGGTAGGTGGTCTTTCTACAAGCCAGATGTGGGTAGGTGGTCTTTCTACAAACTAGGTTTGGGTAGGTGGTCTTTCTACAAACTAGGGTTGGGTAGGTGGTCTTTCTACAAGCCAGATGTGGGTAGGTGGTCTTTCTACAAACTAGTGGTGGGTAGGTGGTCTTTCTACAAACTAAGGTTGGATTGGGGGTCCTTCTACAAGCCAGATGTGGATAGGTGGTCTTTCTACAAGCCAGATGTGGGTAGGTGGTCTTTCTACAAACTAAGGTTGGATTGGGGGTCTTTTTTCAAGCCAGATGTGGATAGGTGGTCTTTCTACAAGCCAGATGTGGGTAAGTGGTCTTTCTACAAACTAGAGGTAGGTAGGTGGTCTTTGTACAAACTAGGGTTGGATAGGTGGTCCTTTTACAAGCCGGATGTGGATAGGTGGTCTTTCTACAAGCCTGATGTTGGTAGGTGGTCTTTCTACAAGCCACATGTGGGTAGGTGGTCTTTCTACAAGCCAGATGTTGGTAGGTGCTCTTTCTACAAACTAGGGTTGGGTAGGTGGTCCTTTTACAAGCCAGATGTGGATAGGTGGTCTTTCTACAAGCCTGATGTTGGTAGGTGGTCTTTCTACAAGCCAGATGTGGGTAGGTGGTCTTTCTACAAGCCAGATGTGGGTAGGTGGTCTTACTACAACCTAGGGGTTGGTAGGTGGTCTTTCTACAAACTAGGTTTGGATAGGTGGTCCTTCTACAAGCCAGATGTTGGTAGGTGCTCTGTCTACAAACTAGGGTTTGGTAGGTGGTCTTTCTACAAGCCAGATGTGGGTAGGTGGTCTGTCTACAAGCCAGATGTGGGTAGGTGGTCTTTCTACAAGCCAGATGTGGGTAGGTGGTCTTACTACAACCTAGGGGTTGGTAGGTGGTCTTTCTACAAACTAGGGTTGGATAGGTGGTGCTTCTACAAGCCAGATGTTGGTAGGTGCTCTGTCTACAAACTAGGGTTGGGTAGGTTGTCTTTCTACAAGCCAGATGTGGGAAGGTGGTCTTTCTACAAGCCAGATGTGGGTAGGTGGTCTTTCTACAACCTAGGGGTTGGTAGGTGATCTTTCTACAAACTAGGGTTGGATAGGTTGTCTTTCTACAAGCCAGATGTGGGAAGGTGGTCTTACTACAAGGCAGATGTGGGTATGCGGTCTGTCTATAAACTAGGGATTAGTAGGTGGTCTGTCTACAAACTAGGGTTGGGTAGGTGGTCTTTCTACAAGCCAGATGTGGGAAGGTGCTCTGTCTACAAACAAGGGTTGGGTAGGTGGTCTTTCTACAAGCCAGATGTGGGAAGGTGGTCTTTCTACAAGCCAGATGTGGGTAGGTGGCCTTCTACAAGCCAGATGTGGGTAGGTGGTCTGTCTACAAACTAGGGATTAGTAGGTGGTCTTTCTACAAGCCAGATGTTGGTAGGTGCTCTGTCTACAAACTAGGGTTGGGTAGGTTGTCTTTCTACAAGCCAGATGTGGGGAGGTGGTCTGTCTACAAGCCAGATGTGGGTAGGTGGTCTTTCTACAAGCCAGATGTGGGTAGGTGGTCTTACTACAAGCTAGATGTGGGTAGGTGGTCTGTCTACAAACTAGGGATTAGTAGGTGGTCTTTCTACAAGCCAGATGTGGGTAGGTGCTCTGTCTACAAACTAGGGTTGGGTAGGTGGTCTTTCTACAAGCCAGATGCGGGTAGGTAGTCTTTCTACAAGCCAGATGTGGGTATGCGGTCTGTCTATAAACTAGGGATTAGTAGGTGGTCTGTCTACAAACTAGGTCTGGGTAGGTGGTCTGTTTACAAGCAAAATGTGGTAGGTGGTCTTTCTACAAGCAAAATGTGGATAGGTAGTCTTTCTACAAACTAGGGGTGGGTAGATGGTTTTTTCTAGAAACTATTGGTAGGTAGGTGGTCTTTCTACAACTAGGGTTGGGTAGGTGGTCTTTCTACAAGCCAGATGTGGGTAGGTGGTCTTTCTACAAACTAGGTTTGGGTAGGTGGTCTTTCTACAAACTAAGGTTGGGTAGGTGGTCTTTCTACAAGCCAGGTGTGGGTAGGTGTTCTTTCTACAAACTAGGGGTGGGTAGGTGGTCTTTCTAGAAACTATTGGTAGGTAGGTTGTCTTTCTACAAACTAGGGTTGGGTAGGTGGTCTTTCTACAAGCCAGATGTGGGTAGGTGGTCTTTCTACAAACTAGGTTTGGGTAGGTTGTCTTTCTACAAACTAAGGTTGGGTAGGTGGTCTTTCTACAAGCCAGATGTGGGTAGGTGGTCTTTCTACAAACTAGTGGTGGGTAGGTGGTCTTTCTACAAACTAAGGTTGGATTGGGGGTCCTTCTACAAGCCAGATGTGGATAGGTGGTCTTTCTACAAACCAGATGTGGGTAGGTGGTCTTTCTACAAACTAAGGTTGGATTGGAGGTCCTTCTACAAGCCAGATGTGGATAGGTGGTCTTTCTACAAGCCAGATGTGGATAGGTGGTCTTTGTACAAGCCAGATGTGGGTAAGTGGTCTTTCTACAAGCCAGATGTGGATAGGTGGTCTTTGTACAAGCCAGATGTGGATAGGTGGTCCTTCAGCAAGCCAGATGTTGGTAGGTGCTCTGTCTACAAACTAGGTCTGGGTAGGTGGTCTGTTTACAAGCAAAATGTGGTAGGTGGTCTTTCTACAAGCAAAATGTGGATAGGTAGTCTTTCTACAAACTAGGGGTGGGTAGGTTGTTTTTCTACAAACTATTGGTAGGTAGGTGGTCTTTCTACAAACTAGGGTTGGGTAGGTGGTCCTTCTACAAGCCAGATGTGGATAGGTGGTCTTTCTACAAGCCTGATGTTGGTAGGTGGTCTTTCTACAAACTAGAGGTAGGTAGGTGGTCTTTCTACAAACTAGGGTTGGATAGGTGGTTTTTCTACAAACTATTGGTAGGTAGGTGGTCTTTCTACAACTAGGGTTGGGTAGGTGGTCTTTCTACAAGCCAGATGTGGGTAGGTGGTCTTTCTACAAACTAGGTTTGGGTAGGTGGTCTTTCTACAAACTAAGGTTGGGTAGGTGGTCTTTCTACAAGCCAGGTGTGGGTAGGTGTTCTTTCTACAAACTAGGGGTGGGTAGGTGGTCTTTCTAGAAACTATTGGTAGGTAGGTTGTCTTTCTACAAACTAGGGTTGGGTAGGTGGTCTTTCTACAAGCCAGATGTGGGTAGGTGGTCTTTCTACAAACTAGGTTTGGGTAGGTTGTCTTTCTACAAACTAAGGTTGGGTAGGTGGTCTTTCTACAAGCCAGATGTGGGTAGGTGGTCTTTCTACAAACTAGTGGTGGGTAGGTGGTCTTTCTACAAACTAAGGTTGGATTGGGGGTCCTTCTACAAGCCAGATGTGGATAGGTGGTCTTTCTACAAACCAGATGTGGGTAGGTGGTCTTTCTACAAACTAAGGTTGGATTGGAGGTCCTTCTACAAGCCAGATGTGGATAGGTGGTCTTTCTACAAGCCAGATGTGGATAGGTGGTCTTTGTACAAGCCAGATGTGGGTAAGTGGTCTTTCTACAAGCCAGATGTGGATAGGTGGTCTTTGTACAAGCCAGATGTGGATAGGTGGTCCTTCAGCAAGCCAGATGTTGGTAGGTGCTCTGTCTACAAACTAGGTCTGGGTAGGTGGTCTGTTTACAAGCAAAATGTGGTAGGTGGTCTTTCTACAAGCAAAATGTGGATAGGTAGTCTTTCTACAAACTAGGGGTGGGTAGGTTGTTTTTCTACAAACTATTGGTAGGTAGGTGGTCTTTCTACAAACTAGGGTTGGGTAGGTGGTCCTTCTACAAGCCAGATGTGGATAGGTGGTCTTTCTACAAGCCTGATGTTGGTAGGTGGTCTTTCTACAAACTAGAGGTAGGTAGGTGGTCTTTCTACAAACTAGGGTTGGATAGGTGGTCCTTTTACAAGCCAGATGTGGATAGGTGGTCTTTCTACAAGCCTGATGTTGGTAGGTGGTCTTTCTACAAACTAGAGGTGGGTTGGTGGTCTTTCTACAAACTAGGGTTGGATAGGTGGTCCTTTTATAGGTGGTCTGTTTGCAAGCAAAATGTGGATAGGTAGTCTTTTCACAAACTAGGGTTGGGTAGGTGGTCTTTCTACCAACTAAGGGTGGGTAGGTGGTCTTTCTACAAACTAGATATGGGTAGGTGGTCTGTCAACAAACTAGGGTTTGGTAGGTGTTTTTTTACAAGCCAGATATAGGTAGGTGGTCTGTCTACAAACTAGGGTTTGGTAGGTGGTCTTTCTACAAACTAGGGGTTAGTAGGTGGTCTTTCTACAAACTAGTGTAGGGTAGGTGGTCTGTCTACAAACCAGGGTTGGGTAGGTAGTCTTTCTACAAACTAGATGTGGAAAGGTGGTCTTTCTACAAGCCATATGTGGGTTCGTGGTCTTTCTATAAGAAGGAGTCAAAAATTCTGTTCACATCAAACGTTTTGAGCGGCGTAAAACCAGAGACAAAAGCAACTATTTCTAGTATTTTCTGGAACAAATTAATTAACTATTCCATCATGTTTTCTTCTTCTTCTTTTTAATAATTAAACTCAACTTACAACCATATGGCCTTCTAGGACGACCAGTGCAACCACTGCAACAAGCGCCACAAGTCCTACCAGCGCCACAAGTCCAACAAGCGCCACAAGTCCTACAAGCGCCACAAGTCCAACAAGCGCCACGAGTCCTACAAGCGCCACAAGTCCAACAAGCGCCACAAGTCCAACAAGCGCCACGAGTCCTACAAGCCGTACGGGATCCACGGGTCCAACCAGTGCCACAAGTCAGACATCAGCAACATCACCTTCGCCAGCAACATCACCCACGTCACCTACATCATCAGCTACATCACCAACGTCCCCGACATCACCAACGTCACCTACATCAGCGACATCACCGACATCACCAACGTCAGCAACATCGCCTACGACAACTGTTCCTATCTGTGTGACATCGTGTGTAGGGCTGAGTGACGGCAACTATCAGTCATGTTCGGGCTGCACCGTCTATGCCACGTGTATCGGGGAGCGGATCATTGACAACAGACCCTGCCCAGGAGGCCTTGCCTGGGACGACACTATCAAGAGCTGTACCTCCACATCGTCCTCTTGGTAAGAAACACTATTCGCCAAATTGTTTTAAATCATTTTGTCTGTTGTACACGATTAAGTTGATGGGAATGCCGTGCTTTAAAACGTACCTCTATCAACTGTTTGTTTGGCTATTTTAGTAAACAGAAAAATGTTGTAAATCATATCGAACAAATCTACATTAACATATTACAGAAATCGGCATGCCACTCTCAATAGTTAGACCTATATATTATCTGAAATGTACAATTCAGCAAATACTATCAACATTAAGACAGGTATGCAGTGATTGTTCAGGAGACAAATAACAATCAGATATGTTCATGCTTTTATCAATTGTAACAAGACATTCTTCTACATCGTTACTAAATTTGAAAAGGATCTTCAGGACATTCAATATTACCATCAGTCAACGTCCGAGGCAATGAGGTGAGGTGACGTCGCGTCCAAGATTATTGCACTTACATAGCGACGTGCATGTACGTGTGTGTGTGTGTGTGGCTGCTTGTACTAGTCCGGACTGATGCCGATTTATAGTGCTAGCTCACTGAGATACCATGCCGCAGTTTAACATGAATTCCCCACTCAGACACAGTATACTGACTCCGAGCCGACCAGTCCTTGTTTTAGCCCCTTAATGCCGAGGGCCAGACAGGGTAACAACAAGTACCATCTTTTAACGTCTTTTGGTATGACGCGGCCGGGGATCGAACCCCGGACCTTCCGCTCTCGGGGCGAATGCTCTCCCACTAGACCACGGAGGAGGTCCCCAAGGCAATGAACCGATCTGAAAACCTGATTATGAAAGGGAGTTAGCCTTGAAAAGGGCAATAAAAATATAATTAGCTGTCTGGCAAGTAACAATACCTTGCTTCATTCGTTCTGTTGATGTATGCTGTGTTTCTTTTCCAAAGCACGACAAGTCCAACAAGCGCCACAAGTCCAACCAGCGCTACAAGCCCAACAAGCGCCACAAGTCCAACCAGCGCCACAAGTCCAACAAGCGCCACAAGTCCAACAAGCGCCACAAGTCCAACCAGCGCCACAAGTCCAACCAGCGCCACAAGTCCAACAAGCACCACAAGTCCAACAAGCGCCACAAGTCCAACCACCGCTACTGGTCCTACCGGACCAACCAGTCAGACATCAGCAACATCACCCACGCCAGCAACATCACCCACGTCAACTACATCAGCAACATCACCAACGTCACCTACATCGCCAACGTCACCGACATCACCAACGTCACCTACATCAGCGACATCACCAACATCACCAACGTCACCGACATCACCAACGTCAGCAACATCGCCTACGACAACTGTTCCTATCTGTGTGACATCGTGTGTAGGGCTGAGTGACGGCAACTATCAGTCATGTTCGGGCTGCACCGTCTATGCCACGTGTATCGGGGAGCGGATCATTGACAACAGACCCTGCCCAGGAGGCCTTGCCTGGGACGACACTATCAAGAGCTGTACCTCCACATCGTCCTCTTGGTAAGAAACACTATTCGCCAAATTGTTTTAAATCATTTTGTCTGTTGTACACGATTAAGTTGATGGGAATGCCGTGCTTTAAAACGTACCTCTATCAACTGTTTGTTTGGCTATTTTAGTAAACAGAAAAATGTTGTAAATCATATCGAACAAATCTACATTAACATATTACAGAAATCGGCATGCCACTCTCAATAGTTAGACCTATATATTATCTGAAATGTACAATTCAGCAAATACTATCAACATTAAGACAGGTATGCAGTGATTGTTCAGGAGACAAATAACAATCAGATATGTTCATGCTTTTATCAATTGTAACAAGACATTCTTCTACATCGTTACTAAATTTGAAAAGGATCTTCAGGACATTCAATATTACCATCAGTCAACGTCCGAGGCAGTGAGGTGAGGTGACGTCGCGTCCAAGATTATTGCACTTACATAGCGACGTGCATGTACGTGTGTGTGTGTGTGTGTGGCTGCTTGTACTAGTCCGGACTGATGCCGATTTATAGTGCTAGCTCACTGAGATACCATGCCGTAGTTTAACATGAATTCCCCACTCAGACACAGTATACTGACTCCGAGCCGACCAGTCCTTGTTTTAGCCCCTTAATGCCGAGGGCCAGACAGGGTAACAACAAGTACCATCTTTTAACGTCTTTTGGTATGACGCGGCCGGGGATCGAACCCCGGACCTTCCGCTCTCCGGGCGAATGCTCTCCCACTAGACCACGGAGGAGGTCCCCAAGGCAATGAACCGATCTGAAAACCTGATTATGAAAGGGAGTTAGCCTTGAAAAGGGCAATAAAAATATAATTAGCTGTCTGGCAAGTAACAATACCTTGCTTCATTCGTTCTGTTGATGTATGCTGTGTTTCTTTTCCAAAGCACGACAAGTCCAACAAGCGCCACAAGTCCAACCAGCGCTACAAGTCCAACAAGCGCCACAAGTCCAACCAGCGCCACAAGTCCAACAAGCGCCACAAGTCCAACAAGCACCACAAGTCCAACAAGCGCCACAAGTCCAACCAGCGCCACAAGTCCAACAAGCACCACAAGTCCAACAAGCGCCACAAGTCCAACAAGCGCCACAAGTCCAACCACCGCTACTGGTCCTACCGGACCAACCAGTCAGACATCAGCAACATCACCCACGCCAGCAACATCACCCACGTCAACTACATCAGCAACATCACCAACGTCACCTACATCGCCAACGTCATCGACATCACCAACGTCACCTACATCAGCGACATCACCAACATCACCAACGTCACCGACATCGCCAACGTCAGCAACATCGCCTACGACAACTGTTCCTATCTGTGTGACATCGTGTGTAGGGCTGAGTGACGGCAACTATCAGTCATGTTCGGGCTGCACCGTCTATGCCACGTGTATCGGGGAGCGGATCATTGACAACAGACCCTGCCCAGGAGGCCTTGCCTGGGACGACACTATCAAGAGCTGTACCTCCACATCGTCCTCTTGGTAAGAAACACTATTCGCCAAATTGTTTTAAATCATTTTGTCTGTTGTACACGATTAAGTTGATGGGAATGCCGTGCTTTAAAACGTACCTCTATCAACTGTTTGTTTGGCTATTTTAGTAAACAGAAAAATGTTGTAAATCATATCGAACAAATCTACATTAACATATTACAGAAATCGGCATGCCACTCTCAATAGTTAGACCTATATATTATCTGAAATGTACAATTCAGCAAATACTATCAACATTAAGACAGGTATGCAGTGATTGTTCAGGAGACAAATAACAATCAGATATGTTCATGCTTTTATCAATTGTAACAAGACATTCTTCTACATCGTTACTAAATTTGAAAAGGATCTTCAGGACATTCAATATTACCATCAGTCAACGTCCGAGGCAATGAGGTGAGGTGACGTCGCGTCCAAGATTATTGCACTTACATAGCGACGTGCATGTACGTGTGTGTGTGTGTGTGTGGCTGCTTGTACTAGTCCGGACTGATGCCGATTTATAGTGCTAGCTCACTGAGATACCATGCCGTAGTTTAACATGAATTCCCCACTCAGACACAGTATACTGACTCCGAGCCGACCAGTCCTTGTTTTAGCCCCTTAATGCCGAGGGCCAGACAGGGTAACAACAAGTACCATCTTTTAACGTCTTTTGGTATGACGCGGCCGGGGATCGAACCCCGGACCTTCCGCTCTCCGGGCGAATGCTCTCCCACTAGACCACGGAGGAGGTCCCCAAGGCAATGAACCGATCTGAAAACCTGATTATGAAAGGGAGTTAGCCTTGAAAAGGGCAATAAAAATATAATTAGCTGTCTGGCAAGTAACAATACCTTGCTTCATTCGTTCTGTTGATGTATGCTGTGTTTCTTTTCCAAAGCACGACAAGTCCAACAAGCGCCACAAGTCCAACCAGCGCTACAAGTCCAACAAGCGCCACAAGTCCAACCAGCGCCACAAGTCCAACAAGCGCCACAAGTCCAACAAGCGCCACAAGTCCAACCAGCGCCACAAGTCCAACCAGCGCCACAAGTCCAACAAGCACCACAAGTCCAACAAGCGCCACAAGTCCAACCACCGCTACTGGTCCTACCGGACCAACCAGTCAGACATCAGCAACATCACCCACGCCAGCAACATCACCCACGTCAACTACATCAGCAACATCACCAACGTCACCTACATCGCCAACGTCACCGACATCACCAACGTCACCTACATCAGCGACATCACCAACATCACCAACGTCACCGACATCACCAACGTCAGCAACATCGCCTACGACAACTGTTCCTATCTGTGTGACATCGTGTGTAGGGCTGAGTGACGGCAACTATCAGTCATGTTCGGGCTGCACCGTCTATGCCACGTGTATCGGGGAGCGGATCATTGACAACAGACCCTGCCCAGGAGGCCTTGCCTGGGACGACACTATCAAGAGCTGTACCTCCACATCGTCCTCTTGGTAAGAAACACTATTCGCCAAATTGTTTTAAATCATTTTGTCTGTTGTACACGATTAAGTTGATGGGAATGCCGTGCTTTAAAACGTACCTCTATCAACTGTTTGTTTGGCTATTTTAGTAAACAGAAAAATGTTGTAAATCATATCGAACAAATCTACATTAACATATTACAGAAATCGGCATGCCACTCTCAATAGTTAGACCTATATATTATCTGAAATGTACAATTCAGCAAATACTATCAACATTAAGACAGGTATGCAGTGATTGTTCAGGAGACAAATAACAATCAGATATGTTCATGCTTTTATCAATTGTAACAAGACATTCTTCTACATCGTTACTAAATTTGAAAAGGATCTTCAGGACATTCAATATTACCATCAGTCAACGTCCGAGGCAGTGAGGTGAGGTGACGTCGCGTCCAAGATTATTGCACTTACATAGCGACGTGCATGTACGTGTGTGTGTGTGTGTGTGGCTGCTTGTACTAGTCCGGACTGATGCCGATTTATAGTGCTAGCTCACTGAGATACCATGCCGTAGTTTAACATGAATTCCCCACTCAGACACAGTATACTGACTCCGAGCCGACCAGTCCTTGTTTTAGCCCCTTAATGCCGAGGGCCAGACAGGGTAACAACAAGTACCATCTTTTAACGTCTTTTGGTATGACGCGGCCGGGGATCGAACCCCGGACCTTCCGCTCTCCGGGCGAATGCTCTCCCACTAGACCACGGAGGAGGTCCCCAAGGCAATGAACCGATCTGAAAACCTGATTATGAAAGGGAGTTAGCCTTGAAAAGGGCAATAAAAATATAATTAGCTGTCTGGCAAGTAACAATACCTTGCTTCATTCGTTCTGTTGATGTATGCTGTGTTTCTTTTCCAAAGCACGACAAGTCCAACAAGCGCCACAAGTCCAACCAGCGCTACAAGTCCAACAAGCGCCACAAGTCCAACCAGCGCCACAAGTCCAACAAGCGCCACAAGTCCAACAAGCACCACAAGTCCAACAAGCGCCACAAGTCCAACCAGCGCCACAAGTCCAACAAGCACCACAAGTCCAACAAGCGCCACAAGTCCAACAAGCGCCACAAGTCCAACCACCGCTACTGGTCCTACCGGACCAACCAGTCAGACATCAGCAACATCACCCACGCCAGCAACATCACCCACGTCAACTACATCAGCAACATCACCAACGTCACCTACATCGCCAACGTCATCGACATCACCAACGTCACCTACATCAGCGACATCACCAACATCACCAACGTCACCGACATCGCCAACGTCAGCAACATCGCCTACGACAACTGTTCCTATCTGTGTGACATCGTGTGTAGGGCTGAGTGACGGCAACTATCAGTCATGTTCGGGCTGCACCGTCTATGCCACGTGTATCGGGGAGCGGATCATTGACAACAGACCCTGCCCAGGAGGCCTTGCCTGGGACGACACTATCAAGAGCTGTACCTCCACATCGTCCTCTTGGTAAGAAACACTATTCGCCAAATTGTTTTAAATCATTTTGTCTGTTGTACACGATTAAGTTGATGGGAATGCCGTGCTTTAAAACGTACCTCTATCAACTGTTTGTTTGGCTATTTTAGTAAACAGAAAAATGTTGTAAATCATATCGAACAAATCTACATTAACATATTACAGAAATCGGCATGCCACTCTCAATAGTTAGACCTATATATTATCTGAAATGTACAATTCAGCAAATACTATCAACATTAAGACAGGTATGCAGTGATTGTTCAGGAGACAAATAACAATCAGATATGTTCATGCTTTTATCAATTGTAACAAGACATTCTTCTACATCGTTACTAAATTTGAAAAGGATCTTCAGGACATTCAATATTACCATCAGTCAACGTCCGAGGCAATGAGGTGAGGTGACGTCGCGTCCAAGATTATTGCACTTACATAGCGACGTGCATGTACGTGTGTGTGTGTGTGTGTGGCTGCTTGTACTAGTCCGGACTGATGCCGATTTATAGTGCTAGCTCACTGAGATACCATGCCGTAGTTTAACATGAATTCCCCACTCAGACACAGTATACTGACTCCGAGCCGACCAGTCCTTGTTTTAGCCCCTTAATGCCGAGGGCCAGACAGGGTAACAACAAGTACCATCTTTTAACGTCTTTTGGTATGACGCGGCCGGGGATCGAACCCCGGACCTTCCGCTCTCGGGGCGAATGCTCTCCCACTAGACCACGGAGGAGGTCCCCAAGGCAATGAACCGATCTGAAAACCTGATTATGAAAGGGAGTTAGCCTTGAAAAGGGCAATAAAAATATAATTAGCTGTCTGGCAAGTAACAATACCTTGCTTCATTCGTTCTGTTGATGTATGCTGTGTTTCTTTTCCAAAGCACGACAAGTCCAACAAGCGCCACAAGTCCAACCAGCGCTACAAGTCCAACAAGCGCCACAAGTCCAACCAGCGCCACAAGTCCAACAAGCGCCACAAGTCCAACAAGCACCACAAGTCCAACAAGCGCCACAAGTCCAACCAGCGCCACAAGTCCAACAAGCACCACAAGTCCAACAAGCGCCACAAGTCCAACAAGCGCCACAAGTCCAACCACCGCTACTGGTCCTACCGGACCAACCAGTCAGACATCAGCAACATCACCCACGCCAGCAACATCACCCACGTCAACTACATCAGCAACATCACCAACGTCACCTACATCGCCAACGTCATCGACATCACCAACGTCACCTACATCAGCGACATCACCAACATCACCAACGTCACCGACATCGCCAACGTCAGCAACATCGCCTACGACAACTGTTCCTATCTGTGTGACATCGTGTGTAGGGCTGAGTGACGGCAACTATCAGTCATGTTCGGGCTGCACCGTCTATGCCACGTGTATCGGGGAGCGGATCATTGACAACAGACCCTGCCCAGGAGGCCTTGCCTGGGACGACACTATCAAGAGCTGTACCTCCACATCGTCCTCTTGGTAAGAAACACTATTCGCCAAATTGTTTTAAATCATTTTGTCTGTTGTACACGATTAAGTTGATGGGAATGCCGTGCTTTAAAACGTACCTCTATCAACTGTTTGTTTGGCTATTTTAGTAAACAGAAAAATGTTGTAAATCATATCGAACAAATCTACATTAAAATATTACAGAAATCGGCATGCCACTCTCAATAGTTAGACCTATATATTATCTGAAATGTACAATTCAGCAAATACTATCAACATTAAGACAGGTATGCAGTGATTGTTCAGGAGACAAATAACAATCAGATATGTTCATGATTTTATCAATTGTGACAAGACATTCTTCTACATCGTTACTAAATTTGAAAAGGATCTTCAGGACATTCAATATTACCATCAGTCAACGTCCGAGGCAATGAGGTGAGGTGACGTCGCGTCCAAGATTATTGCACTTATATAGCGACGTGCATGTACGTGTGTGTGTGTTTGTGTGGCTGCTTGTACTAGTCCGGACTGATGCCGATTTATAGTGCTAGCTCACTGAGATACCATGCCGCAGTTTAACATGAATTCCCCACTCAGACACAGTATACTGACTCCGAGCCGACCAGTCCTTGTTTTAGCCCCTTAATGCCGAGCGCCAGACAGGGTAACAACAAGTACCATCTTTTAACGTCTTTTGGTATGACGCGGCCGGGGATCGTACCCCGGACCTTCCGCTCTCCGGGCGGACGCTCTACCAATAGACAACGGAGGAGGTCCCCAAGGCAATGAACCGATCTGAAAACCTGATTATGAAAGGGAGTTAGCCTTGAAAAGGGCAATAAAAATATAATTAGCTGTCTGGCAAGTAACAATACCTTGCTTCATTCCTTCTGTTGACGTATGCTTTATTTCTTTTCAAAAGCACGACAAGTCCAACAAGCGCCACGAGTCCAACAAGCGCCACAAGTCCAACAAGCGCCACAAGTCCAACAAGCACCACAAGTCCAACCAGCGCCACGAGTCCAACAAGCGCCACAAGTCCAACAAGCGCCACAAGTCCAACCAGCGCCACAAGTCCAACCAGCGCCACGAGTCCTACCACCGCTACTGGTCCCACGGGACCAACCAGTGCTACAAGTCAGACATCAGCAACATCACCCACGCCAGCAACATCACCCACGTCACCCACATCAGCAACATCACCAACGTCACCTACATCGCCAACGTCACCGACATCACCGACATCCCCAACGTCACCTACATCACCGACATCACCAACGTCACCGACATCACCAACGTCAGCAACATCGCCTACGACAACTGTTCCTATCTGTGTGAAATCGTGTGTAGGACTCAGTGACGGCAACTATCAGTCATGTTCGGGCTGCACCGTCTATGCCACGTGTATCGGGGAGCGGATCATTGACAACAGACCCTGCCCAGGAGGCCTTGCCTGGGACGACACTATCAAGAGCTGTACCTCCACATCGTCCTCTTGGTAAAAAACACTATTCGCCAAATTGTTTTAACTCATCTTGTATATTGTACACAATTTAGTTGATGGGAATGTCGGGCTTTAAAACGTACCTCTATCAACTGTTTGTTTGGCTATTTTAGTAAACAGAAAAATGTTGTAAATCATATCGAACAAATCTACATTAACATATTACAGAAATCGGCATGCCACTCTCAATAGTTAGACCTATATATTATCTGAAATGTACAATTCAGCAAATACTATCAACATTAAGACAGGTATGCAGTGATTGTTCAGGAGACAAATAACAATCAGATATGTTCATGCTTTTATCAATTGTAACAAGACATTCTTCTACATCGTTACTAAATTTGAAAAGGATCTTCAGGACATTCAATATTACCATCAGTCAACGTCCGAGGCAATGAGGTGAGGTGACGTCGCGTCCAAGATTATTGCACTTACATAGCGACGTGCATGTACGTGTGTGTGTGTGTGTGGCTGCTTGTACTAGTCCGGACTGATGCCGATTTATAGTGCTAGCTCACTGAGATACCATGCCGCAGTTTAACATGAATTCCCCACTCAGACACAGTATACTGACTCCGAGCCGACCAGTCCTTGTTTTAGCCCCTTAATGCCGAGGGCCAGACAGGGTAACAACAAGTACCATCTTTTAACGTCTTTTGGTATGACGCGGCCGGGGATCGAACCCCGGACCTTCCGCTCTCGGGGCGAATGCTCTCCCACTAGACCACGGAGGAGGTCCCCAAGGCAATGAACCGATCTGAAAACCTGATTATGAAAGGGAGTTAGCCTTGAAAAGGGCAATAAAAATATAATTAGCTGTCTGGCAAGTAACAATACCTTGCTTCATTCGTTCTGTTGATGTATGCTGTGTTTCTTTTCCAAAGCACGACAAGTCCAACAAGCGCCACAAGTCCAACCAGCGCTACAAGTCCAACAAGCGCCACAAGTCCAACCAGCGCCACAAGTCCAACAAGCGCCACAAGTCCAACAAGCGCCACAAGTCCAACAAGCGCCACAAGTCCAACCAGCGCCACAAGTCCAACAAGCACCACAAGTCCAACAAGCGCCACAAGTCCAACCACCGCTACTGGTCCTACCGGACCAACCAGTCAGACATCAGCAACATCACCCACGCCAGCAACATCACCCACGTCAACTACATCAGCAACATCACCAACGTCACCTACATCGCCAACGTCACCGACATCACCAACGTCACCTACATCAGCGACATCACCAACATCACCAACGTCACCGACATCGCCAACGTCAGCAACATCGCCTACGACAACTGTTCCTATCTGTGTGACATCGTGTGTAGGGCTGAGTGACGGCAACTATCAGTCATGTTCGGGCTGCACCGTCTATGCCACGTGTATCGGGGAGCGGATCATTGACAACAGACCCTGCCCAGGAGGCCTTGCCTGGGACGACACTATCAAGAGCTGTACCTCCACATCGTCCTCTTGGTAAGAAACACTATTCGCCAAATTGTTTTAAATCATTTTGTCTGTTGTACACGATTAAGTTGATGGGAATGCCGTGCTTTAAAACGTACCTCTATCAACTGTTTGTTTGGCTATTTTAGTAAACAGAAAAATGTTGTAAATCATATCGAACAAATCTACATTAAAATATTACAGAAATCGGCATGCCACTCTCAATAGTTAGACCTATATATTATCTGAAATGTACAATTCAGCAAATACTATCAACATTAAGACAGGTATGCAGTGATTGTTCAGGAGACAAATAACAATCAGATATGTTCATGATTTTATCAATTGTGACAAGACATTCTTCTACATCGTTACTAAATTTGAAAAGGATCTTCAGGACATTCAATATTACCATCAGTCAACGTCCGAGGCAATGAGGTGAGGTGACGTCGCGTCCAAGATTATTGCACTTATATAGCGACGTGCATGTACGTGTGTGTGTGTTTGTGTGGCTGCTTGTACTAGTCCGGACTGATGCCGATTTATAGTGCTAGCTCACTGAGATACCATGCCGCAGTTTAACATGAATTCCCCACTCAGACACAGTATACTGACTCCGAGCCGACCAGTCCTTGTTTTAGCCCCTTAATGCCGAGCGCCAGACAGGGTAACAACAAGTACCATCTTTTAACGTCTTTTGGTATGACGCGGCCGGGGATCGTACCCCGGACCTTCCGCTCTCCGGGCGGACGCTCTACCAATAGACAACGGAGGAGGTCCCCAAGGCAATGAACCGATCTGAAAACCTGATTATGAAAGGGAGTTAGCCTTGAAAAGGGCAATAAAAATATAATTAGCTGTCTGGCAAGTAACAATACCTTGCTTCATTCGTTCTGTTGAAGTATGCTTTATTTCTTTTCAAAAGCACGACAAGTCCAACAAGCGCCACAAGTCCAACCAGCGCCACAAGTCCAACAAGCGCCACAAGTCCAACAAGCGCCACAAGTCCAACCAGCGCCACGAGTCCAACAAGCGCCACAAGTCCAACAAGCGCCACAAGTCCAACCAGCGCCACAAGTCCAACCAGCGCCACGAGTCCTACCACCGCTACTGGTCCCACGGGACCAACCAGTGCTACAAGTCAGACATCAGCAACATCACCCACGCCAGCAACATCACCCACGTCACCCACATCAGCAACATCACCCACGTCACCTACATCGCCAACGTCACCGACATCACCGACATCACCAACGTCACCTACATTACCGACATCACCAACGTCACCGACATCACCAACGTCAGCAACATCGCCTACGACAACTGTTCCTATCTGTGTGACATCGTGTGTAGGACTCAGTGACGGCAACTATCAGTCATGTTCGGGCTGCACCGTCTATGCCACGTGTATCGGGGAGCGGATCATTGACAACAGACCCTGCCCAGGAGGCCTTGCCTGGGACGACACTATCAAGAGCTGTACCTCCACATCGTCCTCTTGGTAAAAAACACTATTCGCCAAATTGTTTTAACTCATCTTGTATATTGTACACAATTTAGTTGATGGGAATGTCGGGCTTTAAAACGTATCTCTATCGACTGTTTGTTTGGCTATTTTAGTAAACAGCAACATGTTGTATATCATATGGGACAAATCTACCTTTACATATCACAGAACTTGGTATGCCATTCTAAAAGAAATACCTATATATTATCTGAACACTATTAAAATTCTAACAGGTATGCAATGATTATTTGAGTGAGACAAATACCTTTCAGCCATGTTCATGATTTAATCAATTGTGACAAGAGATTCTTCTACATCGTTACTACATTTGGAAAGGATCTTCAGAACATTTTATATAACCATCAGTCAACGTCCTAGAAAATGAACCGTTCTGTAAACCTGATTATGAAAGGGAGTTACCCTTGAAAAAGGCAATACAAATATAAGTAGCTGTCTGGCAAGTAACAATACCTTGTTTCATTCCTTTTGTTGACGTATGCTATATTTCTTTTCAAAAGCACGACAAGTCCAACCAGCGCCACAAGTCCAACCAGCGCCACAAGTCCAACCAGCGCCACCAGTCCAACAAGCGCCACAAGTCCAACCAGCGCCACAAGTCCAACAAGCGCCACAAGTCCAACCAGCGCCACAAGTCCAACAAGCGCCACAAGTCCAACCAGCGCCACCAGTCCAACAAGCGCCACAAGTCCAACAAGCGCCACAAGTCCAACCAGCGCCACCAGTCCAACAAGCGCCACAAGTCCAACAAGCGCCACAAGTCCAACAAGCGCCACAAGTCCAACCAGCGCCACCAGTCCAACCAGCGCCACCAGTCCAACAAGCGCCACCAGTCCAACAAGCGCCACAAGTCCAACAAGCGCCACAATTCCTACCAGCGCCACAAGTCCAACAAGCGCCACAAGTCCAACAAGCACCACAAGTCCAACAAGCGCCACAAGTCCAACCAGCGCCACAAGTCCAACCAGCGGCACGGGATCCACGGGTCCAACCAGTGCCACAAGTCAGACATCAGCAACATCACCTTCGCCAGCAACATCACCCACGTCACCTACATCATCAGCACCATCACCAACGTCCCCGACATCACCAACGTCACCTACATCAGCGACATCACCGACATCACCAACGTCAGCAACATCGCCTACGACAACTGTTCCTATCTGTGTGACATCGTGTGTAGGACTCAGTGACGGCAACTATCAGTCATGTTCGGGCTGCACCGTCTATGCCACGTGTATCGGGGAGCGGATCATTGACAACAGACCCTGCCCAGGAGGCCTTGCCTGGGACGACACTATCAAGAGCTGTACCTCTACATCGTCCTCTTGGTAAAAAACACTATTCGCCAAATTGTTTTAACTCATCTTGTATATTGTACACAATTTAGTTGATGGGAATGTCGGGCTTTAAAACGTACCTCTATCAACTGTTTGTTTGGCTATTTTAGTAAACAGAAAAATGTTGTAAATCATATCGAACAAATCTACATTAAAATATTACAGAAATCGGCATGCCACTCTCAATAGTTAGACCTATATATTATCTGAAATGTACAATTCAGCAAATACTATCAACATTAAGACAGGTATGCAGTGATTGTTCAGGAGACAAATAACAATCAGATATGTTCATGCTTTTATCAATTGTAACAAGACATTCTTCTACATCGTTACTAAATGAACCGATCTGAAAACCTGATTATGAAAGGGAGTTAGCCTTGAAAAGGGCAATAAAAATATAATTAGCTGTCTGGCAAGTAACAATACCTTGCTTCATTCCTTCTGTTGACGTATGCTTTATTTCTTTTCAAAAGCACGACAAGTCCAACAAGCGCCACGAGTCCAACAAGCGCCACAAGTCCAACAAGCGCCACAAGTCCAACAAGCACCACAAGTCCAACCAGCGCCACGAGTCCAACAAGCGCCACAAGTCCAACAAGCGCCACAAGTCCAACCAGCGCCACAAGTCCAACCAGCGCCACGAGTCCTACCACCGCTACTGGTCCCACGGGACCAACCAGTGCTACAAGTCAGACATCAGCAACATCACCCACGCCAGCAACATCACCCACGTCACCCACATCAGCAACATCACCCACGTCACCTACATCGCCAACGTCACCGACATCACCGACATCCCCAACGTCACCTACATCACCGACATCACCAACGTCACCGACATCACCAACGTCAGCAACATCGCCTACGACAACTGTTCCTATCTGTGTGAAATCGTGTGTAGGACTCAGTGACGGCAACTATCAGTCATGTTCGGGCTGCACCGTCTATGCCACGTGTATCGGGGAGCGGATCATTGACAACAGACCCTGCCCAGGAGGCCTTGCCTGGGACGACACTATCAAGAGCTGTACCTCCACATCGTCCTCTTGGTAAAAAACACTATTCGCCAAATTGTTTTAACTCATCTTGTATATTGTACACAATTTAGTTGATGGGAATGTCGGGCTTTAAAACGTACCTCTATCAACTGTTTGTTTGGCTATTTTAGTAAACAGAAAAATGTTGTAAATCATATCGAACAAATCTACATTAACATATTACAGAAATCGGCATGCCACTCTCAATAGTTAGACCTATATATTATCTGAAATGTACAATTCAGCAAATACTATCAACATTAAGACAGGTATGCAGTGATTGTTCAGGAGACAAATAACAATCAGATATGTTCATGCTTTTATCAATTGTAACAAGACATTCTTCTACATCGTTACTAAATTTGAAAAGGATCTTCAGGACATTCAATATTACCATCAGTCAACGTCCGAGGCAATGAGGTGAGGTGACGTCGCGTCCAAGATTATTGCACTTACATAGCGACGTGCATGTACGTGTGTGTGTGTGTGTGGCTGCTTGTACTAGTCCGGACTGATGCCGATTTATAGTGCTAGCTCACTGAGATACCATGCCGCAGTTTAACATGAATTCCCCACTCAGACACAGTATACTGACTCCGAGCCGACCAGTCCTTGTTTTAGCCCCTTAATGCCGAGGGCCAGACAGGGTAACAACAAGTACCATCTTTTAACGTCTTTTGGTATGACGCGGCCGGGGATCGAACCCCGGACCTTCCGCTCTCGGGGCGAATGCTCTCCCACTAGACCACGGAGGAGGTCCCCAAGGCAATGAACCGATCTGAAAACCTGATTATGAAAGGGAGTTAGCCTTGAAAAGGGCAATAAAAATATAATTAGCTGTCTGGCAAGTAACAATACCTTGCTTCATTCGTTCTGTTGATGTATGCTGTGTTTCTTTTCCAAAGCACGACAAGTCCAACAAGCGCCACAAGTCCAACCAGCGCTACAAGTCCAACAAGCGCCACAAGTCCAACCAGCGCCACAAGTCCAACAAGCGCCACAAGTCCAACAAGCGCCACAAGTCCAACAAGCGCCACAAGTCCAACCAGCGCCACAAGTCCAACAAGCACCACAAGTCCAACAAGCGCCACAAGTCCAACCACCGCTACTGGTCCTACCGGACCAACCAGTCAGACATCAGCAACATCACCCACGCCAGCAACATCACCCACGTCAACTACATCAGCAACATCACCAACGTCACCTACATCGCCAACGTCACCGACATCACCAACGTCACCTACATCAGCGACATCACCAACATCACCAACGTCACCGACATCGCCAACGTCAGCAACATCGCCTACGACAACTGTTCCTATCTGTGTGACATCGTGTGTAGGGCTGAGTGACGGCAACTATCAGTCATGTTCGGGCTGCACCGTCTATGCCACGTGTATCGGGGAGCGGATCATTGACAACAGACCCTGCCCAGGAGGCCTTGCCTGGGACGACACTATCAAGAGCTGTACCTCCACATCGTCCTCTTGGTAAGAAACACTATTCGCCAAATTGTTTTAAATCATTTTGTCTGTTGTACACGATTAAGTTGATGGGAATGCCGTGCTTTAAAACGTACCTCTATCAACTGTTTGTTTGGCTATTTTAGTAAACAGAAAAATGTTGTAAATCATATCGAACAAATCTACATTAAAATATTACAGAAATCGGCATGCCACTCTCAATAGTTAGACCTATATATTATCTGAAATGTACAATTCAGCAAATACTATCAACATTAAGACAGGTATGCAGTGATTGTTCAGGAGACAAATAACAATCAGATATGTTCATGATTTTATCAATTGTGACAAGACATTCTTCTACATCGTTACTAAATTTGAAAAGGATCTTCAGGACATTCAATATTACCATCAGTCAACGTCCGAGGCAATGAGGTGAGGTGACGTCGCGTCCAAGATTATTGCACTTATATAGCGACGTGCATGTACGTGTGTGTGTGTTTGTGTGGCTGCTTGTACTAGTCCGGACTGATGCCGATTTATAGTGCTAGCTCACTGAGATACCATGCCGCAGTTTAACATGAATTCCCCACTCAGACACAGTATACTGACTCCGAGCCGACCAGTCCTTGTTTTAGCCCCTTAATGCCGAGCGCCAGACAGGGTAACAACAAGTACCATCTTTTAACGTCTTTTGGTATGACGCGGCCGGGGATCGTACCCCGGACCTTCCGCTCTCCGGGCGGACGCTCTACCAATAGACAACGGAGGAGGTCCCCAAGGCAATGAACCGATCTGAAAACCTGATTATGAAAGGGAGTTAGCCTTGAAAAGGGCAATAAAAATATAATTAGCTGTCTGGCAAGTAACAATACCTTGCTTCATTCGTTCTGTTGAAGTATGCTTTATTTCTTTTCAAAAGCACGACAAGTCCAACAAGCGCCACAAGTCCAACCAGCGCCACAAGTCCAACAAGCGCCACAAGTCCAACAAGCGCCACAAGTCCAACCAGCGCCACGAGTCCAACAAGCGCCACAAGTCCAACAAGCGCCACAAGTCCAACCAGCGCCACAAGTCCAACCAGCGCCACGAGTCCTACCACCGCTACTGGTCCCACGGGACCAACCAGTGCTACAAGTCAGACATCAGCAACATCACCCACGCCAGCAACATCACCCACGTCACCCACATCAGCAACATCACCCACGTCACCTACATCGCCAACGTCACCGACATCACCGACATCACCAACGTCACCTACATTACCGACATCACCAACGTCACCGACATCACCAACGTCAGCAACATCGCCTACGACAACTGTTCCTATCTGTGTGACATCGTGTGTAGGACTCAGTGACGGCAACTATCAGTCATGTTCGGGCTGCACCGTCTATGCCACGTGTATCGGGGAGCGGATCATTGACAACAGACCCTGCCCAGGAGGCCTTGCCTGGGACGACACTATCAAGAGCTGTACCTCCACATCGTCCTCTTGGTAAAAAACACTATTCGCCAAATTGTTTTAACTCATCTTGTATATTGTACACAATTTAGTTGATGGGAATGTCGGGCTTTAAAACGTATCTCTATCGACTGTTTGTTTGGCTATTTTAGTAAACAGCAACATGTTGTATATCATATGGGACAAATCTACCTTTACATATCACAGAACTTGGTATGCCATTCTAAAAGAAATACCTATATATTATCTGAACACTATTAAAATTCTAACAGGTATGCAATGATTATTTGAGTGAGACAAATACCTTTCAGCCATGTTCATGATTTAATCAATTGTGACAAGAGATTCTTCTACATCGTTACTACATTTGGAAAGGATCTTCAGAACATTTTATATAACCATCAGTCAACGTCCTAGAAAATGAACCGTTCTGTAAACCTGATTATGAAAGGGAGTTACCCTTGAAAAAGGCAATACAAATATAAGTAGCTGTCTGGCAAGTAACAATACCTTGTTTCATTCCTTTTGTTGACGTATGCTATATTTCTTTTCAAAAGCACGACAAGTCCAACCAGCGCCACAAGTCCAACCAGCGCCACAAGTCCAACCAGCGCCACCAGTCCAACAAGCGCCACAAGTCCAACCAGCGCCACAAGTCCAACAAGCGCCACAAGTCCAACCAGCGCCACAAGTCCAACAAGCGCCACAAGTCCAACCAGCGCCACCAGTCCAACAAGCGCCACAAGTCCAACAAGCGCCACAAGTCCAACCAGCGCCACCAGTCCAACAAGCGCCACAAGTCCAACAAGCGCCACAAGTCCAACAAGCGCCACAAGTCCAACCAGCGCCACCAGTCCAACCAGCGCCACCAGTCCAACAAGCGCCACCAGTCCAACAAGCGCCACAAGTCCAACAAGCGCCACAATTCCTACCAGCGCCACAAGTCCAACAAGCGCCACAAGTCCAACAAGCACCACAAGTCCAACAAGCGCCACAAGTCCAACCAGCGCCACAAGTCCAACCAGCGGCACGGGATCCACGGGTCCAACCAGTGCCACAAGTCAGACATCAGCAACATCACCTTCGCCAGCAACATCACCCACGTCACCTACATCATCAGCACCATCACCAACGTCCCCGACATCACCAACGTCACCTACATCAGCGACATCACCGACATCACCAACGTCAGCAACATCGCCTACGACAACTGTTCCTATCTGTGTGACATCGTGTGTAGGACTCAGTGACGGCAACTATCAGTCATGTTCGGGCTGCACCGTCTATGCCACGTGTATCGGGGAGCGGATCATTGACAACAGACCCTGCCCAGGAGGCCTTGCCTGGGACGACACTATCAAGAGCTGTACCTCTACATCGTCCTCTTGGTAATTCCCAATTAACTTCAATTCACATGTATCATCTTCTGATCAAGATTGTGTATTCAGTGTTTCTGGCCATATTTCACATCGTATAGTTTGTTTTCCATGTGAGGGGGGACTTCTGGCCCAGCCGTCCAAGGCGCCGCAATTCGCTGTGCAGTTGCATCCCTTGGGTACGCTAGAAAGATGTGATCACGTGTTCGAATCCCGTCCTCCTTGAATAGCTGTAGATTGTCATTATTGTTTACGTGTTTGTTTGCCACAGACCACATTAAACTGGAAATTTTCCTAGTAGTAATTCCCCCATTTGTTTTATCAAGGTTTACTTCTAAGCCCCACTTAGGTACACGACGATTAGGAACCGTGTTTTCTGCAGTCATTGACGTGAGAAGAACTCATCGGCAACAACATCTATCACACTATGTTAATACCGCTGTTATATGTTCGTTTATGTAAAAATAGGAAAAAGTATCGGACTTACTTGACACCCTTGGCGAACTCCAATAGTAGCATTCGTTACTTTCCACACCAGTTTTCAACAAATATAGTTTTTGTGACCATAGTAAGAGGTTTATTTTTTACTGAATACACGACGAACTTAAACCCTCAATCCGTTGTAGAACAATTGTGTCGAAATCAATCCTCAACTTTCCACATCAACTTATTTAACTGTAGCCACGTCCTGAAGGATCTTTAAGCGACTGATAGAAATACGCATTTCAATATTCAAACAGAAACTCATAATTATGTAATAACTAAGTCTTATATACATATCGTAACAAACGTATTACTACTTCTAACAGCGTCACCAGTCCTACCAGCGCCACAAGTGCCACCAGCGCAACAAGCCCAACTAGTGCGACTAGCCCCACCAGTGCAACAAGTCCTACTAGCGCTACAAATGCCACTAGTCCTACCAGCCCTACCAGCGCCACTAGTCCTACCAGTGCCACCAGTGCCACCAGTGCCACAAGTCCAACCAGCGCTACCAGTGCCACGAGTGCAACCAGCGCTACCAGTGCCACGAGTGCAACTAGTGCCACCAGCGCCACCAGTCCTACCAGCGCCACAAGTGCCACCAGCGCAACAAGCCCAACTAGTGCGACTAGCCCCACCAGTGCAACAAGTCCTACTAGTGCTACAAGTGCCACTAGTCCTACCAGCCCTACCAGCGCCACCAGTCCTACCAGTGCCACTAGTGCCACAAGTCCAACCAGCGCTACCAGTGCCACGAGTGCAACTAGTGCCACCAGCGCCACCAGTCCTACCAGCGCCACAAGTGCCACCAGCGCAACAAGCCCAACTAGTGCGACTAGCCCCACCAGTGCAACAAGTCCTACTAGCGCTACAAGTGCCACTAGTCCTACCAGCCCTACAAGGGCCACCAGTCCTACCAGTGCCACTAGTGCCACAAGTCCAACCAGCGCTACCAGTGCCACGAGTGCAACTAGTGCCACCAGTCCTACCAGCGCCACAAGTGCCACCAGCCCAACAAGCCCAACTAGTGCGACTAGCCCCACCAGTGCAACAAGTCCTACTAGCGCTACAAGTGCCACTAGTCCTACCAGCCCTACCAGCGCCACCAGTCCTACCAGTGCCACTAGTGCCACAAGTCCAACCAGCGCTACCAGTGCCACGAGTGCAACTAGTGCCACCAGCGCCACCAGTCCTACCAGCGCCACAAGTGCCACCAGCGCAACAAGCCCAACGAGTGCGACTAGCCCCACCAGTGCAACAAGTCCTACTAGCGCTACAAGTGCCACTAGTCCTACCAGCCCTACCAGCGCCACCAGTCCTACCAGTGCCACTAGTGCCACAAGTCCAACCAGCGCTACCAGTGCCACGAGTGCAACTAGTGCCACCAGCGCCACCAGTCCTACCAGCGCCACAAGTGCCACCAGCGCAACAAGCCCAACGAGTGCGACTAGCCCCACCCGTGCAACAAGTCCTACTAGCGCTACAAGTGCCACTAGTCCTACCAGCCCTACCAGCGCCACCAGTCCTACCAGTGCCACTAGTGCCACAAGTCCAACCAGCGCTACCAGTGCCACGAGTGCAACTAGTGCCACCAGCGCCACCAGTCCTACCAGCGCCACAAGTGCCACCAGCGCAACAAGCCCAACTAGTGCGACTAGCCCCACCAGTGCAACAAGTCCTACTAGCGCTACAAGTGCCACTAGTCCTACCAGCCCTACCAGCGCCACCAGTCCTACCAGTGCCACTAGTGCCACAAGTCCAACCAGCGCTACCAGTGCCACGAGTGCAACTAGTGCCACCAGCGCCACCAGTCCTACCAGCGCCACAAGTGCCACCAGCGCAACAAGCCCAACTAGTGCGACTAGCCCCACCAGTCCAACAAGTCCTACTAGCGCTACAAGTGCCACTAGTCCTACCAGCCCTACCAGCGCCACCAGTCCTACCAGTGCCACTAGTGCCACAAGTCCAACCAGCGCTACCAGTGCCACGAGTGCAACTAGTGCCACCAGCGCCACCAGTCCTACTAGCGCCACAAGTGCCACCAGCGCAACAAGCCCAACTAGTGCGACTAGCCCCACCAGTGCAACAAGTCCTACTAGCGCTACAAGTGCCACTAGTCCTACCAGCCCTACCAGCGCCACCAGTCCTACCAGTGCCACTAGTGCCACAAGTACAACCAGCGCTACTAGTGCCACGAGTGCAACTAGTGCCACCAGCGCCACCAGTCCTACCAGTGCCACAAGTGCCACCAGCGCAACAAGCCCAACTAGTGCGACTAGCCCCACCAGTGCAACAAGTCCTACTAGCGCTACAAGTGCCACTAGTCCTACCAGCCCTACCAGCGCCACCAGTCCTACCAGTGCCACTAGTGCCACAAGTCCAACCAGCGCTACCAGTGCCACGAGTGCAACTAGTGCCACCAGCGCCACCAGTCCTACTAGCGCCACAAGTGCCACCAGCGCAACAGGCCCAACTAGTGCGACTAGCCCAACCAGTGCAACAAGTCCTACTAGCGCTACAAGTGCCACTAGTCCTACCAGCCCTACCAGCGCCACCAGTCCTACCAGTGCCACTAGTGCCACAAGTCCAACCAGCGCTACCAGTGCCACGAGTGCAACTAGTGCCACCTGCGCCACCAGTCCTACCAGCGCCACAAGTGCCACCAGCGCAACAAGCCCAACTAGTGCGACTAGCCCCACCAGTGCAACAAGTCCTACTAGCGCTACAAGTGCCACTAGTCCTACCAGCCCTACCAGCGCCACCAGTCCTACCAGTGCCACTAGTGCCACAAGTCCAACCAGTGCTACCAGTGCCACGAGTGCAACTAGCGCCACCAGCGCCACCAGTCCTACCAGCGCCACAAGTGCCACCAGCGCAACAAGCCCAACTAGTGCGACTAGCCCCACCAGTGCAACAAGTCCTACTAGCGCTACAAGTGCCACTAGTCCTACCAGCCCTACCAGCGCCACCAGTCCTACCAGTGCCACTAGTGCCACAAGTCCAACCAGCGCTAACAGTGCCACGAGTGCAACTAGTGCCACCAGCGCCACCAGTCCTACCAGCGCCACAAGTGCCACCAGCGCAACAAGCCCAACTAGTGCGACTAGCCCCACCAGTGCAACAAGTCCTACTAGGGCTACAAGTGCCACTAGTCCTACCAGCCCTACCAGCGCCACCAGTCCTACTAGCGCTACAAGTGCCACTAGTCCTACCAGCCCTACCAGCGCCACCAGTCCTACCAGTGCCACTAGTGCCACAAGTCCAACCAGCGCTACCAGTGCCACGAGTGCAACTAGTGCCACCAGTCCTACCAGCGCCACAAGTGCCACCAGCGCAACAAGCCCAACTAGTGCGACTAGCCCCACCAGTGCAACAAGTCCTACTAGCGCTACAAGTGCCACTAGTCCTACCAGCCCTACCAGCGCCACCAGTCCTACCAGTGCCACTAGTGCCACAAGTCCAACCAGTGCTACCAGTGCCACGAGTGCAACTAGTGCCACCAGCGCCACCAGTCCTACCAGCGCCACAAGTGCCACCAGCGCAACAAGCCCAACTAGTGCGACTAGCCCCACCAGTGCAACAAGTCCTACTAGCGCTACAAGTGCCACTAGTCCTACCAGCCTTACCAGCGCCACCAGTCCTACCAGTGCCACTAGTGCCACAAGTCCAACCAGTGCTACCAGTGCCACGAGTGCAACTAGTGCCACCAGCGCCACCAGTCCTACCAGCGCCACAAGTGCCACCAGCGCAACAAGCCCAACTAGTGCGACTAGCCCCACCAGTGCAACAAGTCCTACTAGCGCTACAAGTGCCACTAGTCCTACCAGCCCTACCAGCGCCACCAGTCCTACCAGTGCCACTAGTGCCACAAGTCCAACCAGCGCTACCAGTGCCACGAGTGCAACTAGTGCCACCAGCGCCACCAGTCCTACCAGCGCCACCAGTGCCACCAGCGCAACAAGCCCAACTAGTGCGACTAGCCCCACCAGTGCAACAAGTCCTACTAGCGCTACAAGTGCCACTAGTCCTACCAGCCTTACCAGCGCCACCAGTCCTACCAGTGCCACTAGTGCCACAAGTCCAACCAGCGCTACCAGTGCCACGAGTGCAACTAGTGCCACCAGCGCCACCAGTCCCACCAGCGCCACAAGTGCCACCAGCGCAACAAGCCCAACTAGTGCGACTAGCCCCACCAGTGCAACAAGTCCTACCAGCGCTACAAGTGTCACTAGTCCTACCAGCCCTACCAGCGCCACCAGTCCTACCAGTGCCACTAGTGCCACAAGTCCAACCAGCGCTACCAGTGCCACGAGTGCAACTAGTGCCACCAGCGCCACCAGTCCTACCAGCGCAACAAGCCCAACTAGTGCGACTAGCCCCACCAGTCCAAC